CTAAGCTGGCTTTGGAAGTGTGAATTTTCTCTAACTCTCCACCAATAGAAGCTCCCTGGGAAGCAATTCATACCAGTGTGCGCAATGAGGTGCTGACTTTCAGTGAATGAATGAATGATGGAAACTACAAGGCCTTTGGAGTGATATAAACCTAGGTTTGAATATCTGCTCAGCCACTTCACTGGCACCACGATCCAGGAAAGTCAGTAAATCTCATAGGGTTTCTGGGGACTACAGAAGGTTCTATACAGGACAGTTCTATCTAGCACAGGGTCAACACATCACTGTGTCCTTTCCCATAACTACTAAAATGCTTGACTGAGCCATCTCAGCTAACACAGGAGCTCAGGGACTCTTGGAAAGTCACATCTTACATTGTTCTCCAAATGACAGTAAGGTTAGCATTATTTTGCAAACCTAAGAATCATGAATTGGAAGAGTTCAGGGTAATGAAACAAAGGATTCTTTTTCTTCAAGAGATTTCTTCGTTCACAGCAGAGTATAATAATGTCAGAGCATCTAAATCAAAAAGTACAGTAATTGTTTAACATCCCCCCAAATTTGTGAACTTTCTTCAAATATTGATATATAAATGTATCTATTTCTGCATAAAATTGTGGGATTATTTTCTCATTGTTATTATATACTATAATAAGTCTTTTCTTCCAATTTTCATGATAGCCTTATAGCTCCCTATCCTCTTGCCAAATAGGGTGAAAAGTCTGTATCTCAGAGTGAAAAAGAATTTAAGGATAGGTGTGTTTGAAGCAAAACATAAAGGAAAACTATGAAGGTGTTGCCCCCCAAAGGAAGATAAATAACATTGAATTATTATAACATGGTTGTTTGGTGAGGTCTTTTAGGATCCGATGGTTTTTTTTTTATAGCAGGAACATAATAAAAATAACATGGACACTCTTTCCATAGTTCTAACGCAAATCTTCCTCACCTGTCTTTGCCTCTGAAAAACAAGGACCGCCATTACCTCCTGAGTCTTTTTTTTTTCATTTTTAAAAAGACTTTATTTATTTATTCATGAGAGACACAGAGAGAGGCAGAGATGTAGGTAGAGGAAGAAGCAGGCTCCTTGCATGGACCCTGATATGGGACTCCTATCCCAGGACTCCAGGATCACAAATTGAGCTGAAGGCAGATGCTCAACCACTGAGCCAGTCATGTGCCCCACCTCCCCAGTCCTGATTCAAAGCCCCTCTGGAGAAAATTCTGACTAGCCAGAAGCAATGCCAATCCCATGGATGTACAATTATCTTTCACTTGAATTTGTTGGTTGTCTATACCCCTTTCTTCTCTGTTCACTGTTTTCATGACCACTGTTAACTTGTTCAAGTTTCTCTGAATTCTCTCCTTTGGCTTCCAAATAAAGATAGCAAACTGAGATTCTCTAAGGATCAAGTCTCCTTCACCAGAACAGCAGACAGAAGCTTGCATATAGGTTGCAAGCTCTCGAGGGTTTCCCTGGAGATGGCCATTGTGCAGTGATATCAACAAAAAGGAAGAGAGCCTTTGAAATAAATCCTGGATGGCTCATCCAAGATAACAAGCAATACTAGCCCAATTCCTGCTTGAACACAGAGTAAGAAAGACAACGGAGTCTGTTACATCAGAATCCTCAATGTCATCAAGTTTGATGAAGCCACCTGCTATTATCTAGAATCATTAGCTGTTGGATCAGGAAGGGCCCTTTGAACATAGCCCAATGCCCACTCAGCAAATGGAGATGTAAGGGGCCAGGGATTCAAATGCCTTGTCCAAAGTTAGTTATCCACAGGGGCAGGACTTTACATTTCCCAAGCTCACAGAATAGCTTCCAAGAGGCTTCTTGTTTCAACATATCATAGAACTGGGTTAGTTTTCTATTTCCAGTTTTAATAAGGAATCTATTTTTCTATGGGTGTTAGACTTCTACAAAATTCTTTTCATTCCAGGAACATTCTGTCATCAAGGAAGTTATTTTTCATTTTTGCTTTTCCTGCTATAGATTAGTGTTTCCAAATGGTGAAAGTGTCTTGGTGAAAATGGAAAACATTGTTCATGTTTCTCAAGTATATTTCTGTTGGCATGTTTGCTTTTTCAGTTATGAAGCATATCCTCTTTTGGAAACGCAATCCCACATTGCTGACATAGCAGGCCTGGTGTTCGTAAGAACAGAGGGCTTTTCCTTTGATGCATCTCTGAGCAGCTTCACGCACTGAACACCTGCAGATCAAAATATCTTCATTCTCTGAACACTGTTCCCAGTAATTGAGACAAGTTGTTGGTTGACCACTTGGTCCCTATTTCTTCTTTCTCTTTCTTTTTTCTCTTTCTTTTTTTCTTTCTCTATCTCTATATATCTTTCTCTCTTTCTTTTTATTTGCTCCCATTGCCTCCATTTTTGATCAGCATTTTTCTGTGTTTACTGCCTCCATAAAAACAGACATTTGGGTCAATTAATTGAGGAAAACTTAGAATATATCAGATGTCATGAAGCCTATATTCAAGTACTTTAAGTGAATTCAAAGATCAATTGCCAATGCAAGATTTCTACCTACTGGCCATGCAGTGAAGATCAGGAGAAGGTAGACATTTTTGTAGAAGCTCAAACCAGTGTGGTAACATCTGACCAGGTTGGATCAAGAAATTTACAGAAGTTACCAGGTTTATAGTAACTCCTCATGGTAAGCAACTTTGTTCTTTTTTGATTCTGTGAGTGAAAAACTGAGAGATGTTTTTTAGAAAAAAACAATGTAGGATCACCTCAGCATACGGACAACAATTATACAGGAACTGGTCTCTATATATGGATACAAAACTACTTCATAGACAAGGTTTTTAATTCCCTGCTTGCAAGCAGATTGAAATTCTACTTTTAGAAAATATACACACAAAGGTGTAAATGCAGCCTTGAAATTAAAATGTTTCTAGGACTGTGTGAACTATTTGTGTAAGCTCTTTGTTCAAGTTGGTTATCTTGTAGATGGTCTTTTAAGTGAGAAATACTTTGATGAAATGTTCCCTTTTTTTGGCAAATAGTGCTCCTTTCTCTAATAATCTGCAAAACATGTATGATTGCTTTTGATCTCATCTTTAAGAGCAGTGCAAAAAAATTATTCTTCAGTGGATGAGTTAGAGCAGTGGATGGCTATAGAACATAAGTCAACATATTCTTATGACTCTAGCTTCTTGGTAGGTTGGCTGAGATTAGTCAAAATTTGTACTCTTTTGAGTCTTGCACTACTTTCTAGAGATGATACAGTTTAATGGAATTTGTGAGCTCATTAAACCATTTCAGACCCAGAATTCACGAAAAGAGTCTGTCTGCATGGTAAACATCCTCATTTGTTCATTTATTGTCTCAGTAAACAGTTATTGAAGACAGTTTCTATCCTGGATGCTAGAGATAACTAACTGGGGGCACAAGACACAGTCCCAACACTCATAAGCTTGCAGCCTTGTGGACAAATATTCTAGAATGTGGCTTGATGGAGCCCCATGTTTTTTGGCCTGTGGCCAGAGACACAGAATGTGGGACTTATGAGCTCTTTTGCTTTCTTAAGGTATATAATAAATAATTATTGCCTATAAAATATATATATATTAGTTTTGTGGAAAATTTGATAAAGGGGCCTCACACCATCCCATTAAAGACAATGATACTATAGTTAATATTTATTGAAAGTCAGATACCTGTTTCTGTCCTTATTCTCAATCCTTAAGAATGCTGTTCAGGAAAATGTTATCCCAATTTCACTGATGGGTAAACTGAGGCTTAGAGAGTTCAGTGATTTGACTAAATTCACATGGCTAGTTACTATGGCAAAGATTGGGACCCAGTAGATACTGGTTTGTTCCAAAGGGCATAGTGTACACCATTTTATGCTTTCGGAAGCTTTCAGCCATCCTTTTATTCAGAACATATACTTTTTTGTAGTCTGACCTTTTAAATAGCCTATGCAGCTGAATGTTTAACTAGTGATAGCTCATAATTGGCATTACTCCTCATGCAGAAAATAATGCTTCTGCTTTTAATCATGGCACTAAAACTTCCTCTTTTGCCTCAAGATATCATTTAAATCCTGTTGAATGTTTGTTAAATTCTCATAATTTAGGGCATTTCTATTAAAGGTCCAGTCCTTTTGATACCATTTCATTCAAACTTTCAGTATCGGCATCAAAATGCTGGAAATACCAAAGCTTGCAGAGAATGGGAGCGGTTGTACTACATGCAGGAGTCAACTGCATAACTCAGAGCAGCCTTCCCACTCATGCTGGGCAGCTGCAGAAAGGCCAAAACAAATAGGATCCTCTGATGAGCAGCACAGGATTTTAAATCAATGCCCTGGAACTTGTTAGGGTAATTTCAAGTTCAAAGGAACAGTCTTTCAGGAATAAATATGTTAAGAGATCATCCTTATTATTTCACACTCCCTAACAACTCATCTGGCCACCTACCAGTGGGGACTAAATTCTGGAAAGTATTTACTTTATAATATAACTAGATATACACCCTCAATGTGTTAGAAAACATTTTAAAAACCTAAAAAATAATGAAAATTCATGTATTAAATATTAAAATACACTATTTCTATTTTTGTTCCTCTCAAAATCATAGAAGTAGTAATTGTAAATTACACTCTAGGAAAGAACCAATATAATAAATGAAAACCTTTTAAGGTTTTTTAACCTTTTTTAAAAAAATCTTTTAAAATTCTGAAGTTTAAGGAAAATGCCAAAAAAAAGGTAAAAATCAGCCTCTCCAATGCTTGTGTGTGAGATGGAAACGACCGACCTAAACTTCCCAAGCAGGGAAGGGTCAGTTCATCTATTATTGACTACATTTATATCTAATGTGATTTTGCTTGAAATTTGTCTTTGTTTAATGCTAGCAAGGCCTATTTATATACATTTATATAAATATTGGAAGAAATATGGGCACACTTTTAAAAGAGGTACAAAAGGAGATTTTTGTAAAAGCTTTTCAGACAGTGTTCCTGGAATAGCTGGAGCAACAAAGTGTTTGGTCCTGGCACAATTCTCAGGGTTACAGGTAAAGTGTTTTTAAATTCTTCAGTGCAAGGTAGGGAGGGGAGGCAGGTGATGCAGGAGCAGTAGGCTAGGTGCTGGTACTGGCTCTGAAGTGCAGGATTTGGTCCCAGTTTGGGCATAATTAGCAGTGAAATGCTTGGAGAGGTGGTTGACTCTGCCCAGTCCTAGGGGTAGTTGCTGACTGAGCTAAAATGGAGATTATTACAAGGACTTAACTCTCTACAGCACTGGGATCCCCTAAGGGGTATAAATGTTAGGACCTTTAGGGATTTCTGTGTTGAAAGATTTGTAAAGAAATTTGTGTATCTTATTTATTTGATTCCATAATAACCAATGGAAAGAATGAACCAAAACTTGATAAACTTCCCATTTTGTTGAAAGTTATTCATATCAGGTATTGATATATTTAACTGCACAAACATCTCCAAGAGTGTCATAAGCTGAGTTTATTTTTTCTATATTCAGTCTAGTAAATTTGTCCATCTTCATTAGCCTTAGAGATAAATTTTTCCTGGGTGAGGGACAATATCTCACAGGAATGTACCTCCCCTAGGATTTGGTCAAATAAATGTTTTTAAAGAATTTTCACAAGGCTGATGAAACTCTGGAAAAGTGGAAGAAATGACATATTTTGGTGTCTTTAGTGGTTGTGATCATAGGCACACATGCATTCATAATTGAAAAGCAATGTTCTAGTCACCTTTTTTTCCAACTGACTGCAACGTAAATTCTAACAATATAATTAAATAAAGGTGATAGATAAAACTTACAAGGCTGAAAAAAATATTTTTTAGGAGAGTGTGGTGTAGATAAAAATGTGGACTATGACTCTGGATCTATCACTTTCTGTATCATCACCATTCAGCAAATAAATTTTGGTTCACTGATTATTACTTTCTTAAAAACATAAAAAATAATACATGCCCATTAGAGAAAAATTGGAAAAGAGAAAAAAATAAAGTATAAAATTTATAATGACACTTATTCTGTTAACATTTGCTATATTTCCATCCATTCATTTTGTCAATGCAACAACCATTTCAAGTGGATGTTGTGGAGATAAATGAAATTAAATATGGAAAAAGCTGCTGCATTGGTTGGGACATGGTCATTCACTGAAAAAGTCAGTTCTACAAATTCCAATTATCCTCCAGTGTTAGTGTACAGAAAAATATATTATGATCTAGTCTACAGGTCACTTCAGAACAATTGATAAGTACTTGCAGAATAACTGCAATTTCTAAGAATCATTGTTACATGTTTCTAAAAATGAGTAGAATGCAGTAAGCATTACCATATATATTCTTAACCTCAACATAAGTTGATCTCTCACTTTTCAGTGGAAACGTCTGAAAGTAAACAAGGGAGAATTTTTATAATTGAATATAAAAAATTACACTAATATACATATCAGGTCAAATATTCACCTTCTTAAAAAAGGTTTTATTTTTCATTTATTTGAAGGATTTGAGAGAGAGAGTGAGTTCATGCATGAACTGGGGGGAGAGACAGAGGGAGCAGACTTTCCACAGAGCAGGAAGCCCAATGCACTGGGCTCCATCTCAGGACCCTGGGATCATGAGCTGTGAAAGGCAGATTCTTAACCAACTGAGCCACCCAGGTATCCTTCAAATACTCACTTTTAATATTTTATATTTTCATTGGATTATATCCATAAAATATTATATTTTTATAAATATCACTGAGATATATTGTTTGCCCTCATATTTCATTAAAAATTTTAGTCAGACTCTTCACATGCATCTAAAATGTATATTTAGAGCAAATTTATGAGTCATCATAGGGTCTGAGTGTTTGGTGATACATTTATGATGATGTCACTAGATGTTCTATTGGAAGAGACAGATATCCACTTACAAAATAAAAGCATTTTTTCATTTATTCTATCATACTGTATATGTACAATGTAACTGTAAAGTATAAAGACTTTAGTCCCAAGTAATATTCATCATCCCAATTAAAGTTCTTTATTGTTTTACCAGCATTATCTCTAAATGAGCTTCAAATGAGTTTATTTCAGGTTGATATCTTACCCAAGTGTCATACTTGTCAAAGTAGAGTATTAGAAGAACCTCTTTTAAAGTGAGAATTTGCTCAAACTAAAACAGAAGGCACCCTCTGTTTTATGAGGCATAACGTTGGGAATAAAAGCCTCACCTTATGCTCTGACATTTCAGCATGTTTCAATCCTGAATGTTTTCCATCTACATAGCAGAGCAGGATTTGCAAATATCTTCTGCCACTTTTCATGTCACCTTCAAGGGAGACCTCACTGAACTATCAAGCTCTGGGACAGAAAAAGAAACAAGCTCTAATGCACAACCCATTTCTCATCTACTTATACCTCCAATTTCCAAAATCTACTTGAGAAGATCTAAAATAAAATACACAAGTACAGTTAGGCCTGGAGATACAAACAGAAGACCAAAAGCACTAAGGAAAGTAGAAAAAAAGGCCCGTGGTTATCCGGCTAGAAACATGGGGTAGACCATTCAAAGATAGGAGAAAAACGTTTTGCAGTACAACCTTTTAATAACTGCTAAAATGAAGCACACCAAGTTTTCAAATATGTTTTTGTTTTCCCCACCATAAAATGAGTAAAAGACTTCAAAGCATGAGTCCTTTAGGAGGACTGTGAAGTGACACAGTGGGCATTGCCTTCCACATCCAATTTGTAAAATGGATGAAAAGGTCTTTAAATAAATGCATTTCATGCTATTACTGCATCATCACTATGGGCATCATGACATTTAATGTCACTTACAGATGGTGACCTTCAGCAGACCTGGTCAGGCAGGTAGCAGCCTAGTGATGTAATGTGACAATAGAGAGGCTTGGAGGACCAGGCAACCAGCCATTGATCTTGTTATTCCATCATGAAGGAAAACTGTAGAAGTTTGAAGCCAAACTTTGGACATGATCTGGACAGAAGTCAGTTTGAGGTAGAAATTTCTGATGAAAGATTGAAATGCTCATAGATTGTGATGTTGGTGGGAAAATATGCCATTTGCTTTTGAAACACAGGTGAAGCAATTCCATGAACTTACCCCATTATTACTAGGCTTTACTATGTTCCTTTTGATTTCCTTAACACTGGAAAGGCATTGGATAAAATAAGACAAGTGACTTACTAATGAATGGTGTGTGAAAGGCACATTTTCCTTGATGAGCGTTCAGAGAATTCCAGACATAGTAGAGCAATGTGAAATGCAAATGAAGGGATGAATCTTGATGCTCCATTGACATAGGTCCAGTTGCTATCCCCAAATACTGCATTCTTGTTAGTAAAGGAAGATTTGGTCCCAGGAGATTAAAATGTTTTGGAGGACAAAATCATCACAATTAAATTTCTAATACTAATGGTAATATTAATTAAATCTCTCATTTTCATAGCATGTTTAGATGTAGAAATCTTAGAAGATATTTTAATATCAATCCTTCCAGTAAAGGTCAGCATATACAGCACTGTGCAAATATATAATAGGATCTGACTTTGTGTCCATGTAGACTTGCTTAAAGTGCTCATGCACGACATATGTAGTTGTCTTGAAAGGTTTGTCCCAAGAATGAAGTTGCTCATGACATAAATTGTGTGAATTGACTCATTTCCTTTTCTGATGGTGAGAGGATGTTTTCAGAGAGCCTGGGTTTTGGAGTCAGGCTACCTAGACCTCTGACTCCACCACTTGCTGCTGATGTGAACTTGGGTGTTCATCTTCTGGCCTCAGTTTCATAATCCACAAGATGGGATAACAGGATGTATGAGCAAGGGTCATATGAAAATTAAGTGAGAGGTTGTAAGGTACTTGGCATGTTGTGTAAAGCACAATAGGTGCCTCATAGATCTTACCTCATTTCAATCCTAAAGGGAGGATTGTATCCAGATTGGTTATCCAGATTGGTTAGTAGCCAATCACATTGACAGAGCAGAAATTCTCCAGAGGATTCAGCTTTACTTCTAACCACTCCAGTGAAAAGTTATCTGACTTTCCATTGATATACAAAACACTTATATTTAGAGGTATTTCTGTAATGGACTTTTCCCATACTTGGCACAAGAATCAAATTTAAATGTGTTGTTGTATGTACTTATATTTTAACTTTTTATCTAACATGATATTATGTTTAACACTAACGAGCTTGGCCTTCATACTTGTATTTAGTAGAAAAATAATTAAAATTTTAAATTTTATTTAGAAAAATTAGGACATATTTGCTTTGGCAGCACATATACTAAAATTGGAATGATAGAAGATAGCATGGACTCTCAAATAAATAAATAAATAAATAAATAAGAAAATACATAGGAATATAGTTAGTGATACTTAGTACTTTTAAATATACTTAGAAATGGAATTAATTTGGAGTTCATATTTACATATGAAATAGCTTTATATATTTAATAAGAGAAAAATTAGAAGAATAAAATAGAGGAATTTCAAATCAATATTAGTATGCCGGTTTGAAATACCATGATTAATTAAAATGTGGATGCAATTAATTAATTTATATACCATTCTTACTGCCTCATATTCATCAAATATATACCACTAAGTCAATTTATGTGAAAATGTTTTGATTATAAATATATATAAATATATTGAAAACATTTATTTCGAAACCTGGTTTGTATTTTATACATCAATGAAATGATTGTGGCCATAAAAAGCATTCTTAATAAGTTTAATAAAGAATGTTGAGTGGCACCTGGGTAGCTCATTCTGTTAAATATCCAGTTACGATCTCAGGGTTGTGGAATTGAGCCCTGAGCCTGGTGTTGGGCTCCAAGCTGAGTGTGGAGTCTGCTCCTGATTCTCTCTCTCCCTCTCACTCGGCCTCTCTCTCTCTCTTTCTCTCTCAAAGAAATATATAGAATCTTTTTAAATAAGAATGCTGAAAGAAAACCCATGTAATATAATTACATAAAATGTAAACACTAACTATATGTAATCAAGAATACTATTTAATGCTCAGTTAACTATCATATTGAGAGAGTTACCATCTATCCTGAAAAGAATGAAACTTTAGGAATCTAGCAAGAAAAGGTGACAGAAGCTAAGCACAAAGTCTTAACTTTCAGAAATTTTTCAAGTTCATCATTTGAATTTCAAGTTTTTTACTATGATGAATCAGGAGTATTCCTATGAAAAACCAACTTTTAAAAATGAAAGCTAGATTCTTTAATGTGTTCATTAAAGGCAAAAATTATTGAATACCATGTACTTTGAGAAATAAATTTTGCTTTATAAAACATGCTTTTTAAATTAAAAAAAGTGTATGGTTGAGGAACTATACAGTGTCTTACTACTGTCTTAATCAGTAACATACTATTTGCACTACAGGCAAGATGTACAAAATTAAAGTAAGCACATTATGAATGAATATCTATTTATAGTGGGAGTAAAAAAACCATCATTGTTTGTTTATCAATTTAGTATAAAAGTCAGGAGCTTTGGAGACAAGCAAAATTCCTGAAGAATTTTTTATTCTTTATTCTCAAAGGAAGAATTCAGTTCTTAGGATGTTACCCACGAAATTCTAACTCCATACTAGTTGAAAGAGAAAATCAGTAAAGCACTTGTGTTTCAGTGGGAACTCAAATTGGAATGGGTCCTACCATTTATGATAGATTCATTAGTATAACTGAGGAATATTCTAGCCTTCAAGCGACATGCCCTTGAAAACCATGATGTTTCACTATATAATTTGATATTATGTCTGCAAGAAACTCTAACCATAACTGGTAACAATGGTTACCATAGCTGGTAACCATTCTATATAAATTTATTCAGCAGGTGAAATGAAAGAAAATTGAAGGATACCATAGCAAGTTTAGCAGGCTTGTAGGGCAGATTCAACTTTGAGGAGGGATGCTAAGACTCATAATATGGTGTCATCTTAATTATGCTTCAACTTCAAATAAAATTCCAACACAAAATGTACTTTTAGTTAACATTTCCTAAAGCAAAACAAAATTCTGACCATGTATTTCTTGATTGGGGTACTATAAGAACATTTCTGAACACTTAAATTTTTTTTAAATATGAGTTTTGGAAATATTGCATTTGTTTCTAAATTTAAGGCGTTGCAATTAATTTGGAAGTTCAGCCTTACACATTGCCTTCTACAAAATCCTGCAGTGGTTTAGATGCAAGAATTAGATGTTCTATAAAATCAGAAATCAAGGAAAAGAATTCCAGTATCACAAGTGGACATGAGATCCATAATTGTAACTTAAAGATCAACTTGATAGATTACCATTCAAACAAGTGACTGTGTATTATGTCAAAATATTTCACTTTTTGACCCAGACTCTTTCACTTAATAGCTATGACTTTGGGCAAATTACATAACTTCTACAACTTCTTTTCCCATGGAAACTAGAAATAAGCACCTCAAAACCCACTGTGGATGAAAGCCCATGATAACCATTAATTCTTTTGCAACTTTTTGTTTCACTATGTGTTGGGTATTTCCAAACCATAAAATACTTGTGTTTCTTTATTTAAGTTTTAATTGTTATTCCACTGTCTCCAACAGATAAAAGTCCTGAAGACATTTCCCCCAAGCCCACAATTTTTCTTCCTTCAATTGCTGAAATAAAAGTCCATCAGGTTGGAACATATATTTGTCTTCTTGAGGATATTATTCCTGATATTTTTAAGATAGATTGGAAAGAAAAGAATGGCAAAACAATTCTGCAATCCCAGCAGGGAAACACCATGAAGACTAAGGACACATACATGAAATTCAGCTGGCTAACCGTGACTGAAAAATCAATGGATAAAGAACACCAATGCATTGTCAAAGATGAGAGGAATAAAGAAAGGGTTAAACAAGAGATTGATTTTCCTTCAATAAACAAAGGTATGTGCATACAAACATGAATACAACCTCCCAGAATCCTTTGTTTTGAAGAGAAAAACCTAACTTTTCTGTCAAGTATTAATGAAAACATGAAATTAAAATTTTTTTCTAATGTTGTTGCCTTTCATGCTAGCATAAATGTCCTATTTCCCCCATAGACTTCAAATAGTATGGGCTTTGGAGGGCCTGGGAGACTCAGTAAACTGAGCATCTGACTCTCCATTCAGCTCAGGTCATGACTCAGGGTATTAAGATTGAGCCCAGCATTGGGCTCTGCACTCAGCATGGAGTCTGCTTGGGTATCTCTCCCTGTGCCCCTTCCCCGTGCTCACTCTCTCTCTCTTTCAAAAGAAATATGCAATTAATTTAAAAAAAAACAACAACAGTATGGCCTTTGGAATATACAGAGGAAAAAATGACATATTCACTTAGCCTTTCAAGCCTTAGTTTTAGCATCCAAATATTAATGAAACAGTGATGATTTTAAAGTCATTTCATGGATTAAATGAAAAAATACACGTGAAAGCACCTAGCTACCTGGTACACAAGAAATGCTCAGAGTCTACTATTGATAATTTCACTTGATCAGGAATTAAGAACAATTATGCGTCATTCAAGAATGTTCTATCCAGCAGTCAGAAGTCTTTCTCACTTCAATCTTGCTCTATTCAAAGTATCACCCATGAACAATGAGTTGTCAGAGACAAAATGATCTTCATTTGACGGGGCCAGAACGCAATTCAACCAGAAATAATATTTTGGCAACTGAGGTTTTAGTATGGTCTTGAGTTTTTTAGATTTGTATTTTATATGCCAGCATAAGGTGAATTTTTGTAAATAAGGATTGAGTGATGCTAAGGTCTTAAATATTCATGCATTCTACACAATGAATGTATTCTTACCATTGGTAAAAACTGCTCAGCAAACATTTGTTTCAGTTCTAGTGTGTGCCAGACTGGAAAGGATGCACGATGAACTACTGTCCCAAGGAGGATAACTACAGTAATCAATCAGGGTCACTTGTGATTTAAGCATGGTGTTCCAAAGGAGCCTCACTGGGAGAGATGCTGGTCATATTTAGAAAGTGTGGGCAGATGGCTAAATGTGCCTAGCCTCGCTGTGATCTACTAACTCATTAGACTCACAAGTCAAGTCCTGGCATTGACATCACAGACCAAAGGCCCAGAGACACCATAAGAAGGAACCACTTTGGATTTTCCTTGTGATTAATAACATTCTAAGCAGTGGGGAACAAGCACATAACAAGACCTATGAAGAGCTTTGCTATATCAAGTCTAACTTTCTGAAGTGAGTTTATGTTCTTGGAGTGTTGAAAACACCCCACAGACCCAAAATGGCAATACTTAGCTTATGGCCCAAGTCACTAAACCAGGACTTAATACCTAATCTAAGAGCAATTTCACCTTCCCACCCCAAGGAGAAGAGTAACCTTTAACTAGTCAACATGGGAATTTCCTGGTCATCCCCAGGAAGCTTCCTGATTGACTCATTCCCATCCCCATGGGAGAGTAACCTTGCCTAAGACAATGGATTGCTTTCTAAGAATTCCCTTTTCCCCCCTGGGTCCCTCTCTATTGTTAAAAACTTTTCCTTTCCTGTAGTCCTTTCATAAATTAATTGATTAATAGAGCCATTAGATCTTTAACATTTGGGCAACCTGGGTGGCTCAGCGGTTTAGTGCCACCTTCAGCCCGGGGCCTGATCCTGGAGACCCATGATTGAGTCCCAGGTCGGGCTCCCTGAATGGAGCCTGCTTCTCCCTCTGCCTGTGTCTCTGCCTCTCTCTCTCTCTCTCTCTCTCTCTCTCTCTCTCTGTGTGTGTGTCTCTCATGAATAAATAAATAAAATCTTTAAAAAAATCTTTAACATTTACTTGGTTGAATTTTTTATCTTTAACAGATTTGGTGGCAAGGATGGAATCCGATATGGACCCTGCGGGGCATTCAGAGGCAAAGCAAAACACAGAGGTGGTAACTTTGAACCCTTCCAGTTCAAGATCTTTCAGGCCTGTCCCAAGCACTGTGGGTGAGTTCTTCCTGCTCTCAGCTCCAGTCACTTTGTGTTCTGCCTCCTAATCTAATTGGTTTTGCTTGGCAGGGCACGGCAGCTTAGGCTGCCAGAGTGTTATGCCCATGTTAAGTTAAACTAGCATGTCTTTTCTGAGCCCCATTGAGCTAGATATTTGCACAGAGTTCAACTGAACTGGCTGAAGGGACTGCCCAGTGCCAAGCAATTAACCTTTCAGACTAAGTGCCCAAGATAGAAACCTCAGCAAGTTTCCAGGAGAATTGGTGGTGCACGCGGAGTCTTCTTGTATCAGAACTCAGAAACATCTCTTACAGCTCATACACTAATGTGCACCTAATTGATTGTCACCATTCCAGTAGATAAAGGCTACAGCTAACAGGGAAAGGTAGAAAAAACACAAAAATTGGCTTGCAAGAGTCAAGCATTTAGAGGCTGCTAGAGCACTTGCTACCTCAGGAACACACCACTGATAGTACAGGTTGTCAGGAAATGGGATGGATCAGTACTAGATCACTCATCAGCCTCAAGAAAACCTCTGTGCAAGGAGCTACACTGCAAAATACGCACAATCCCCAATTCCAGGACACAACCCTTTTTTAGGTGTTAGTTTTCTGATCAAGAATCCCAGTGTCTTTGTTAATGGAATCCTTAAAGAGTCAAGTGCACTACTTCTGTTTTACCTGTTTATTTTTCTTTTAAGAATTATAGTCCCAGATTAAAGATACCTAGCAAAATGCAAACTCTTAAAAACTTCTTTGGTGTCCTGAGGAATTAACTTGGTAACAATCAGGTTGGAGACCCAAAAATACCAGACAGGAAAGTGGAGTACCACTCATTTGCAGCCAGATATGGCTGGATTGGAGTGTGGATTAACTCCATTTGAGGCCAGTGTCCTACCAAACTGCTGCGAGCCCTCAAAGCAATGATAACCTAGAAATACATGCCCATAATGGGGTACTTGCGAATTAGAATTAGAATTAATTAATTAGAATTAATTAATCTAATTGGAATTAGAATGATTTTGTGATATTAAGATATGAACTTAAAAAGCAAGGGTTCCCTAATTAAACAGAATCCATGTAAGATGTTGACAATTCCAAGGTCCTTTCATTGAAAGACTCGTTGCAAAAGGCTAATGAAAGATTAATGATGGAGGAAGTAACTAAAGCAGAAGACTATGAAACTGATCTAACTCCTACTCCCCTCTTGGCAACTTTGAGCACTCATTCTAGTCTGAATTGATTTTCCACTCTGAACAGACTACACAGCCATAAACAGAAGACTGTCAATTTCATGGCTTTACAGACATCTCCATATCTACCTTCATAGGAGGGCCCCCAAATGAGCCCTGTCCAGAGGGGCATATTGCTATGTACTTTATTCTCTTGAACAGCCACGTGGAATTCTGGTAAATACTGGGTCCTGTGCAAAGGATCCTAGAAAATCTGGCAGAGGAGAGGGAAGAGTGGAAATCTTAACCACATTATTAGTGGAATCTCTATCTAAAGTCCTTGTCCACAGGGATAGTAAAATTTCTCATTATCCCATCCTTTCTAAATCTAGACCCATTGCTAGTGATCTTTTCTCTCCCAGATGTTATTCCTGCCTTCCTGCCTGTGTCATCCTGCCTAATTGCTCTTAACTTTCTGCCTGCCTGCAACTTGGCGGATTGTTGGCTCCTTCCTTTGGCTCTCACTGTGAGAGACTCTGAGTATTTGGAGGGTAGTATCCTTTGCACCCTCTTGGGGACCCGGGTAATACACAAGGGGTTACTCTATATGTCAGAAATTCTTAAAACTAAAACTATGCCCCCAGAGAGAAGGAAACAAATTGAGGCTCATGTGCTTGGTTAGATGGATCAATCCATGATGTCATTCCATGTAAATACAAGTCTGAATTTGAGACCAACTGGATTGACCAATCTTACCAGAAGTAGAAAGGCAGCTCTTGAGGCAACTCAAAGTTCTCCCATTGCTTTATCTATCCCCCAACTTCTCCTATTTATGAAAAAGGGCTTATAAATGGTTGGCTTTAGGAAAGCAAAGTGCTTCTTGGAGGAACATTCATTCTCTGTATGTCATTAAAGTCACACATCTTATCCTGTCTTTAAAATGTAAACCCAGTGCATAAAAGCTTGAGACTGAGGGAAGTAAACGAACTAGTTTACAAAAACTAGTAAACTAGTTCGTTTATAAAAACGTTGTAGAGGTTTGTGCCTAAACTCTAGTCTACTCTCCTTGATAATCCTGAGACAAATACAAGTCTTAAAATTAATAGTGAGACAAAATACAAAATCCTGAGACAAATACAAATTAAAATTAATAGCATAAATATTAGTGATCCTAGGTCCTCGTACCAGTCTGTGTGTCCATAAATATATCTTATCGATGTGAGATATTTTTTCGCCCTGGATATTTCGCCAAAAATAATTTGTAAAGAGCTTTATTTCCCTGGTTTGAATATAAGCAATTTTAAGGATCGGGCATTCTACAACTCTCAAAGAGAGAGAGACTAACTTGAATGTGTTTCAATTTTACATGATCTGGGCACGTATTCTCTGGTGGATTTAAGCATAATAGATATGTTGGTATTGCCTTCTTAGCACTAAAATCAGAAATTTCATGTGCCTGGTTTACTAAAGATCAAGTAAGTAGATGTGATCTCCATTACAAAATGTTATAGGAAAAAGCTTGGGAGAATGATGGACTTTGATGTTTCATAAGATTATTTACACTTTTTATTTAATTCCAATTAATTAACACAGCACATTATATTAGTTTCATATGCACAATATGGTGATTCAACACTTTGATACATCACCTGTGCCCATCAGGACAAGTGCACCCTTTAATCTCCATCACCTATTTCACCCTTCTCACCCCTTGCCTATGATGTTTTTGTGGGTAATCTCAGATAACGAGATATAAAAAATACACAATTTTAGCTAAAGTTTTAAATAATCTCCCAATTTTTTGAGGAACTTAAGATCATAGTGTTTTCCATATTAAGATACATTCATTATATTCATTCAATATCGAGATCATTTCCAAGCAAGATAAAATACTAATATATTAGTGACTAAACACAGGTTTATCTACTTTTGTTTCCTTGCTGCATAGAAACAGAAGTTTGCACCTACTCATAGTCATTTTTTGGTGCTTTACTGAAAGATTGTTTTATGAAGAAGCACACATTTCTAGAAATTATGGAATATATTCATAAATTTTCCAATCTAAAGAATGCTAATTAACTGTTCACAACTGCTTACTGATTAGCTTTCTTTAAATATGAAGGTTTCTAAGGGGTTAAGAATTCTAGTACATGTAATGCAGACTCCTAAAATAATAAGAGAAACAACCTGGAAAGCAAAGAAACTAAGATGTATGTTTTTCAAAAGAAAATGTATGAGGAACAGAAATATATTTTTTGAGGGGAAAAAGGGGATTTTGTCCTAAAGGGAAGTGGGTCATCTAAAGAAAGTAAACTTAGAACAAAATCTGAATGTTAAAAAAAAAAAAAAAAACGTTGCAGAGGTTTGTACAAAGGGGATGTTTGGGAAGGAATGTTATGTGTGATCAGGACAAAGATTGGAATGAAGAATTTTTAAACCAAAGTAAGGTGGTACAGCATTGGAGTTTGATTTTTCTCCCTGCCAAAAGGATAAATGGTTTTTTAGGCTTTTCATGTTTCTTTGTTTTCCTTGGAATTTTGGTCTGCTTAAATCTCTTTGACTTGGAGTATTCCAACGGGTTTGTTAAACTGTTTGGCTATTTGGTATGTCAGATTACGTGGGATGCATTGTCAAAAAATACTTCATACCAAGTTTTCTAGGTATTGTGTTTGTAAGATTGTGGTACATGTAGATAATGTCCATTCTGGTGCTACAAAAGAAATGGCTCCTCATTGTCAGTAGTTGGTTATCCTGATGGCCTTATAAATTGGCAGCAGTCTGTTTCTGAATCAGAAAAATGAAGGCGGGTAAACATGGCAGTGTATTAAACAAAGAGTCAGAGCTGAGGGAAAACCAGAGCAGCCACATGGTTCTTCCATGATCCCTTGGCAAATCTCATTTCTTTTAGTTTTTGTTTTTTAAATTCCTTTACCCTCCTTTGGACTTTTTAAAAGACTCAAAGTGTAAGTGGACTTCAATGGGAAGACTTGTATAATAGTACAAAACCATTTACCATTAATATCTAACGTGTCTGGACCATAATTCTGGAATAATTACTTTTGCCTCCAGAGACTGCATGTCTCATCATTCTGGACCCTGACACCTGCAGGTGGAATTCATTCCAATACCACTTAGTTTGTGTGGTCACTGTGACCTTGTCATTGTTTCTATGTGTTCTGGATGGATTAAAGCCTTTTTCTGCTATGAGAATGATATACTCACTCTGGCAAAGACAGTGTCAAAAATGGATTTTCCCTTGGAAAATCTCCAGTGACCAAGGCTCCTCCTTCTGTGATCTCCAGTGACCAAGGCTCCTTCTTCACTGGGCAAATCACAGGAGCCTTTAGGAAAATCTTGCCAATCTCATGGAACTGTCTCAGTGTACAACCTTATGCTGATCTTTTATGTTACCTGCTAGTCTGAGATAGTGTAAGTCTCCAATGTCTGATGCTCAAGACTGTCATCAACAGGTTATGGACACCTTCCTAGATCACAGTTAAAAGGATCTGTAAGTCACAGTATACAGCCTGCTGATTAGATATTTTAGACATATCATCAGAGGAAGATAGTCCTCAACTATCCCAGTAGAAGAGGGACATTACTAAGTGGTTCTGCTATAAAACTAAAGGTTCAACCTTGTACACATAACATACCTACAAATATTTCCACCTGACACCTGGTCCTACCTAGACACAGGAGATTCTGAAACAGCTGAGAGAAGTACAAATAGAAGACATCCAAATTGACTGCGTTCACCTAAAAAGGGTTTCAGGACTTCATATTTTAACAAAATGTGAAATCCTTTCTCCTTCTGTTCTTTCCTTACTCTGGAAATGGCCTGTATCTCCCATGTCATTGCCATATGTGTAACCTCTGGAATTTAGAGCAAACTTTTATTTCAGGCTAGCAGAAAATCTAACACTGGTCCAAAATTTTCTCAAGGTAAATAGGATATCTCATTGGTTGATTCTCCTAGTTTACATCCCAAGGAGTAGGGACTACCAAGAAGCCACCAGGATTAACACCTTTGGCAGGAATCCATGTGGCTTAAACGAAAGATTCCTTCAGCAGGGTCTTTCTTACTTATGTGATTTTAACTGCTTTGAGTATTGGGGGCAATGGCATCAAAATGTACCTCTAACATGGGGAACTACCCTGTTTACGGGCATCATAACAATCTGCCTGGTGCATTTTATTCTTTCAAAAGCTTTACAGGCAAGTTCTAAGCCAGTAACCTTTAAGCAAATGATCTTCCTTGATTGGAATATCACAAAAGAATGAAGAGTACAACCAGGTCTAAAAACCATAATGCTTAAAGAGGTAACCCTTGAATATCACAAAGCTTATGCAAAAGGCCAAGATCTGTGTATATCACCCAGAGAATCCACAGGAACTGTGAGAACTTCAGAGCAGTTGCTGACAGTAGTGTTAATTCCTTCAAATTTGATCCCGTCTCTCGGTTAAGATGAGAATGTGATCAAAAGGCAGGGTTGTTGTAAAGGAAACCTCAGGGTCACAATGTACTCATTAGCTTAAGGCTGTAAGTCAGTAAACCAAGTCTTCATAGCTACCCAACTGCGGTTTCAACAGCCAGAACTAGAACCTTTAGCCAATGGACATGGACTTTCCTGATCAGCACTAGGGTGTTTACTGATTGACCCCTTCTGCTCCCCATTAGGAGAAGGACCCTGCCTCAAACAATGAATTCCTTGCTAATAATTTCCTTTTCACTGCCTCTCTATCTTGAAAAACCTCTGTCCTGTAGCCCTTACGAGCTGCCTCCTACTTGCTAGATGGGATGATACTCGATTCATGAATAGGTTGAAAATACAGCCAAAATGTACTCAGTTGAATGTTTGCTATTTCATAGATTCTCAGTTTGCTCCATAATCAAATTAGGAATAAATATTTACTTTTACTTTCACCAGAAATGTGATGCAAAGCAAATGAAATTATGTCAATGAAAATACTTGTTTTTGAAAACATGACATGGATAAATTTATTCCTGTATTTATTGTATTTATTTATATCCTTCCCTAAAACTAACTGAAGTCAGATTATACAGAGAGCCTTAATGTTCATTTCTACACCTAACAGAGAGGGACAAATGGGCATGGCATAAATGTAATGAAACCATTGGGCTGAAGTATCATGTTAGGTTTTGATTTTTCTAGTGTGCCGAGAAAAGTAATAAGTATAGTAAGTTCCATGGCGACGATTATGGTAAGGAAGGAGCTCCTGTTAATGATGTGCTTTCCATGGCACTTATTTCTGAAAGGAATGTTTCCCAAGGTCTTCTCATAGCCACAAACAGGGCACTTCTGTTAATGGAATTCTACAGTAGATTTTTAATGCAGATCCATGGACGTTTTAAGGTTTTTTAATAAAAGCTTATATATATGTATGTATATAAATGAATGCACAGAACAGTGAGTGATTCTGGACAGAGATAAACTCATCTTTTCAAACTTTTTAACCAACTTTGATTGAGAAAGGGCACCATGGACACACAAGTCATATTATGAAAATTGTTACATTGTTGTCTTTATATCAATGAATGCATGGTGATAAGATATTTTTATTTATCTTTTTGAAGTTTTTATTTTACTCCCAGGTAGCTAACCTACAGTGTAATATTAGTTTCAGGTGCAAATGTCATGAATAACATCACTGCATGAAAAAGAAAGATATGTTTAGGACACTATAATGTCAGCTCTTTAGGATATTTTAACATTTAACATAATTATACTAACATTATTCTTTTTGGGATTTACCCAAAAGACTATATCTCACACCCATTTCTCAAGAGCACACCAACATAAGATTGTGTGGAGTAGATAAAATTGCACACCAGAACCATGTCTGTATACACGACACGGGAGGTGAAAAAGAATAAACCAAAAAATCTTAGAGCTCTCTCTTCCTGCATCCACAGTCAATCATCATTAAGGATTTTTGTGTTTGTATGTATGTTGAGGGGGTGGTGGTTTTGTTTTGTTTTGTTTTTCTACACTGTAGATAAATACAACTTTAACTCAAGTTTATGTAGTCAGACAGCTATCAGTGTGATGTGGCCTTTCATCCTACCCCTGCAAACAAGTGCACTGAAATGCTGAGCTTTTAGGGGTGCATCAGTAGCTTAGTCAGTTAAGTGCCTGCCTTTGGCCCAGATCATGTTTCCAAAGTCCTGGGATTGAGCCATGTGTTGGGCTCCCTACGCAGCTGCAAATCAGTTTCTAGCTCTCCCTCTGCCCATTTCCACGGCTCATGCTCACTCTCTCTCTCTCAAATACATAAAACTTAAAAAATTTAAAAAGAAATGATGAGGTTCTTTAATAAAATGATCATTTGCTAAGACTAATTCAGATATGCTGAAGAGATGCTGTCTGAGAGGTGACAGTGGTGGAATTATGTTTGATGTCTATGGGTTAACAAGATGCTTTCCACAGGCTCTAGCTCATCAATACCCCCACAGCCATCCTTTCAGGGCTGGCTCTGACGATCATCACTGATATGCTATTCAGCAAGGGACATAGACTCTCTAAATCTTATTTCCTTCTGGGTAACATGGAATTCTACAAATTCAGCTCATCAATGTAACAGGGAGATGAGATGAGATAATGCCTATGAACTTTCACGTAGTGCCTGACACAATAATAATCAGTCAATAGGTTTGGCCTTCTTTAGTATTGTTGTCAGGTCCTCCCAACACCATCAGTCCAGAGAATCATGTGCAGGAGTTGAGGATACTGGGGCATGAATGATTTGAAAGACAGGGCTGCTTCTTACCTTAGAGAGGAAATTTACTTAAACCAGACTCCTTCCAACATGTACGGTGCCTCTGTGGCTTCAGGGTTGGACAAATTTATTTTGGTAGCAACCCTTCATGTGAGCAGTGGGTATGGAGGACTGGACCGCAGCCACCGTTTCTGATTATTTTTCTATTCAATAGTATTTTTTTAATAATAAATTTATTTATTTTTTGTTTTTTTAATAAATTAATTTTTATTGGTGTTCAATTTACCAACATACAGAATAACACCCAGTGCTCATCCCGTCAAGTGCCCCCCTCAGTGCCCGTCACCCATTCACCCCACCCCCCGCCCTCCTCCCCTTCCACCACCCCTAGTTCTTTTCCCAGAGTTAGAAGTCTTTATGTTCTGTGTCCCTTTCTGATATCTCCCACACATTTCTTCTCTCTTCCCTTATATTCCCTTTCACTATTATTTATATTCCCCAAATGAATGAGAACATACAATGTTTGTCCTTCTCCGATTGACTTACTTCACTCTTTATAGGACACCTACTGTGGAGCAGTCCCTGTGCTATGAGCTATGAGCACAGAAGGAAAACAAGATAATGTTAGGCATTACCCTCCAGGTGTGAGGAAAAAAAAAAGAAAAAAATGCATCATTCATAAACTACATCTTTATATGCAGAAATACAACATGTGATTTGATCTAGTAAGTTACATAAATTCACATCAACCATTTCTGGAATTGTAGGGCTCATATTTGTAATGACTCTTCTGCTCTTGACAAATTCTATCATCTGTCTATCATCTATCTAATCATCTACCTTCTATCCACAACACAGAGGAAAGTTAAACAATGGATATGAACAATAAATAATACTTGTCCTCATTTCTTTTAGAATTTGCTGCTATTAACTCTACAGAAGCTTCCCTGAATGATGAAAATGGTAAGTTTTTGTCTTTGTTTGCCTTTATGCTATGCTGTAGCATTTTGCCTTTCTGATCAACTTAACCCTTGAACTCCCCTGGCTTCAGGGAGAAACTTCAGAATGGCTGAATCTTGCAAAATAGACTGTGATATTTATGTCAATCCACCATTTCTCAGGGGTCATCTCTTTTAAAGGTTTTATTTATTTATTCATGAGACACAGAGAGAAAGCAGAGACATAGGCAGAGAGAGAAAAAGGCCTCTCGCAGGGAGCCCGATGGGGGACAAGATCCTGGATCTCTGGGATCACGCCCTGGGTCGAAGGCAGATGCTCAGCCACTGAGACTCCCAGGCGTAACCTCAGGAGTCATCTTCACACAGTAACTTCTGGTTTGGCTGTGAGAGGACTAGGAATTAGGGGTGCATCGATGTGCCCTGAATTCTTTCAACAATGGATTTCATTCATATCTGTGCCCTGTTTTCTACTGACTGAGGAAAACATGATTTCTTATTGCTTCTGTATTTTTTAAGCTTTGTTCTTCCTGGTAGTTTACTACATGAATTGACACCGAGAAGTTCTTGTACAGAAGGCTATGTGCTGCACTGGGAGTGTGTTTTGTTTAATTCTCTTAATACTCACTGTGAAAGATTTAATTCCCACTTTACATGTGAGGGTAATGAGATAAAATGAATTCAGTCTCCACACCACACGTCGAGAGCTGAGGCTGAAAACCAGACCAACTGAATCAAGATGAATCAAGTGACATTTAGTTTTTACTTATTACTGCCTAGAGCCCTCGTGGGGATGAACATGCAAAAAGTCACCTATTACCAATGCATTTCCCCCCATGGATTCATTCATTATAAAGACAACCTTAATTTTTAATACTTTGGAATGTGCTAGGTGAATTTCATAGGTTCTTGACTGACTTGACCTGCAAACTCCATTCTGAGTTGTCTCTCTGTGGTGGTGGTGTTGGTGATGGTGATAGAGGGGTGATAGAGGTATTTACTACTCGGTTGTGCTGGTATGAGAGTGTCACTTCAACCTAGGTTATCAGAAATGTTTACAGTTACGACTCTCCAATGAATAAGTCTTGACCTTTCAAAAAAACTGAAATTAATAAAATACTTCTTTTAGACCCCCTGCAGCTTCAACTCATGAACACCTCTGCCTACTACACCTACCTCCTCCTCCTCCTGAAGAGCCTGATGTACTCCATCATCATCGCCATCTGTCTGCTTGGGAGACCAGCGCTCGATGGCAACGGGAAGAGTTCCTAACATGATGCCTACATGGTCCACTTTACCCATTGGCTTTTGTCCCTATAAATGTCTGCTGAGGATCTAGTGGGGCTTTGTTTCTATGATTGGGTTATTTCCTTTCACATGTATCTTTCTCTGTAGGGTCACAATGCAGAATGGGTTCATAAACTCCTGGGCAAACACAAACTTTCACTCTGCACCAAGAACAAATTCTGCTATGACTCAGGGGTGGGAACAGGGGTCCATCCCCAGGGGCTTCATCACTTCTCTCTCCTTAATGCCCACCCACTCCTCAGCCACACAGTACTCATGCCTCTGTGTACAGCCTGCATGCAGCTTCCAGCTGTGTCCTTGAACTCTTTTACCTTGGAGTCCTTGAACTCTTCTTTCTTGGAAGCCCTTTATTGTACATACCTAGAAGATCACCTCCTTACTAATTTACCTTTGTACAGTTTTTCATAATAAAAAGTATCAAAAATCTGTTTGGGCCTATATGTACTTTTATTTGGTCCGATCTAACTGAGAGTCAGATGTAAGAGACAGCATGACAGCTGAGCCTTCCAATACAGTGCTGGTCGTAATATTGGTCAATTCCACATTTTAATTCTTGCCCTGAGATAGTCCTTATGCTACTTTCTTTGAGGGACTGGACACAGGAGAGCCACAGCCAGTGAGGTTGCCCAGGTTAGTTTCTTTCAAAGGTCAACTGACTCAGACTCATTTGGTTTCAGACACTCTGGTGTTGACTGTATAAAATGTCACAAGACTGGCAGATGTCTCAGACCTGTAGCAGTGTTTCACAAGCACCACGTTTCCTGATCTCACATGAATCCCATGAGAGCAGCGCTAACACTAGAAATGTAGGGTGATGGAAGGGGTAATGGCTTGGACTCTGATCCCTAAGTGCCTCGGTTTAAATATATAGCTATTTGGACTCTCTGTGACATAATTTTCTCATGCGTAAAATGAAAATACAGTGTGCCTTGTCTTCTGGACTGGTGTGGATGAGATGCGTTAATTACGCTGGGTACATGCAAATCCTTAAGAGCATTAGCATCTACTGTTGGCAGCTCTACTTTGGAAATAGATAATACACCTGCACATGCACACAAACACTAACAAGGGTGTCCACTCATTCATATATGTGTTTGTAATTCTACAAACATAGATGTATAACAAAATGTTCACGTATGGTAAGTTGTGGAAAAAAATAGTAGTTGTATATTTTTCTATTTTCACTAATAAATGCATTTAGAGTAACAACTTTTATATATTGGAATTGAAATAATGTATCATTTAAAATTGGGGGAACCCCGGGTGGCGCAGCGGTTTAGCGCCTGCCTTTGGCCAGGGGCGCGATCCTGGAGACCCGGAATCGAATCCCACGTCGGGCTCCCGGTGCATGGAGCCTGCTTCTCCCTCTGCCTATGTCTCTGCATCTCTCTCTCTGTGTGTGTGACTATCATAAATAAATTAAAAAGAATTAAAATTGGGAAGGCTTCTATGTTTTATTATACTCAGCTACAGTTTCTGTGAAATGAGTGATTTAGAAACCAAGTAGATTCCCATGTGGAAACAACATAAGACACAGCAGATAAAGGAAGAAGAAATTTAATTTTGATCTATTCCCTGATTCTCAAAAATTTGTTCAGATCTCCTTGGACAAATGCCTGGGCCTCTACTCAGAGATCTGGAACTGTTTCTGCATGTGAAAAGCACAGAGGCAATGAGAGGAAAGTAGCCAATGACTTGCAGCTCTGTGGCTGATGTCCCTGCTGGGTCTCCTAGGCAGTGAGTGTCTCCTGTGGCTTCCAAATCCTTAGCACCTTACTTCTGCAACCTAAACTGGACTGGCCTAGACTGGAATGTGCAAAGAGTAAGGTGAGAGTGGGGTGTTAATGCGGGACACAGTGGGTGGGATGAGGCAATAATGTGGTGATGATGTTTATTTTTCTCAGAGTTATTTTTGTATATGTGCTCTTTCAAATGCGGTTGATATGTGGAAAATACCTGAAGTCAAACCAGCCCCTACTGGTTGGGGCTGTGCAAGAGGTGGCTTCAGTGTTGAAATATAAAATAAAGACAGTTAAGCCACAGCCATCTTTGCTCATTTTCAAAAGGCCACAGCTAATGGAAAGGAAACATTCATCTGCACACACATGCTCCTGCTGTCAAACATACTCTTATGCTTTGAGTGATGGGTTCTCCTATATTATACCAAGTTCATTCCAAGTAGCTGCTATCTGGATTGGTATCCTTTGACCAGAACTGTTGAGATGCTTCTCCTTTAGTCCACTCCAATGACACTGTTCTGAAGGAAATAGCAAGCAGACTTGTAGCACTAGATGATCCCTGATATTTCACCAGGATTTGTGCTTTTCCATGGCATGTCATTTTGAGGCTCCTAATTTCGGTCTTGTTTTGTCAGTGTAGGCAGGGTGACACAAGACCCTTGCCCATGAAGCAATTAGCATAGACAAACTGTAGACGTTACAACAGTAGGTGCTTCTTCTTCACAAGTACACAGGCACATGGAGGCCCTGAGTTCAAGTGAATAATTGGATGTCATAGATTGAGTCATCTCATTCCCTCTAAAGGGACAAGTGACTGTAGAGTCAGGCTGAGCAAGGCTTCATAGAAGAGGTGCACATCAGGTAAATGTGCTGGGGTGGAGCAGAGGAGGGCTGTTCAGCAACGTGAGCACAAAAACAAGTGTCCCTGGTGCCACCCAACCTGAGCTCGATACAGAGAGGGTGCCCAGTCCCAAGACCCAATCTGTCCAGTCCTGGGGGAAATAAACTTCTATTGTTGAGATCACCACCCTAGGCTTTCACAGTCAGACTACACTGCATTTTATCACCATAGACTTTACTCCTCTTGGTCTGTGCTTCAGAGCCAACTTCTGGGTGAGCCATGGTTTCCATTAGCATGGGCGCCATGCTAGTGCTTCAGCCCAGCATGTGTGGGAGAGAGCTCTTTCTCAGGGTAAACTATACACTAACGTCCAGCTCGGGAATCATCTGTGGGCCTGGTGTAAATGTGACTCCACTCCTGAGACAGTATAGTCTAATGGTGCCACACCACTGAGTTCTTGAGATTTAGGCCTAAAGGCCAAAATTTGCAGGCCCTCCTCACCTGTTACTCTATCTTAAGAAACTTTCAGTTTGTGCACAGCCTCCCACACCCCTTTTTGGTGGCACTTTCATCATTTGGTCCATTCTCAGCACAGCACAGATGGCAATGAAATAACTTGTAGAAATGGACATTTGACCCTGTCATTACATTCATTCTGTAAATATTTCTTCACCAAATATCTCCGACAAAAATAATACTTATTTTCCATTATGTACATTTTTTCCTCTAAAGTCAGAAAAAAAACTCTCAATGTCTGAGATTGGAAGAAAAGTTAAATAATTATTGTATTTCCTCAAAACATTTTTCATTCACTTAAAATTATATTTATGTAGTACACAACGACACAGCAAATGCTCAAGTTATCAAGCAAAAGCAAAATATAATGGAGAGCTACAGATCCAGGGAAAACAGCTGTGCATTTGCCTACTGTGGCTACCATTCTTTCCCCACCTCTCAACACCCAGCATCGTGGGCATGAAGGTTCTTCCAAAACAGACAAAGGCATGATAACTGGCAACAACACAGTGTAAGGGAGCTCAGTTAATTTGGGGTGGGGAGTGATATGATGGTGAAATGACAATCTGTATCGTGTGCAAGAAGGAAGGCCTGGGTCACTGCTGGTCTGATGTTGTGGTCATGGCTGTAGCAAGCATGTGTGCAGCTACAGCTATGTGCATGCTTAGCAGAGACTCAAAAGAGCCCAAACCATCCAAACACTGCTGGTGCACCTTGAAGTGATTGGCATATGCAGAGGATCCAAGGAAAGACTCAGAAAAAGTATAATCTGGGAAGACTTATACTTTAGCCCATGCAGTCTATGTGCTAATTGCCTCAAATATGAATATGCTGCCCAATCCCTACAGCAAAACCATTGGCAGAGTCGAGGTCTTTCTCTATGTAATTTTGGTGTATGTAGACATGGGGTGATCCTCAGGAAGCTAGGCTGAAAAATAAACTAATTAAAAAAGAAAACATCCCTTTTTGAACTCAGCCACAGTAACTTCTTGCAAGATACATCCACGAAGGCAAAAGAAACAAAAGCAAAAATGAACTATTGGGACTTCATCAAGATAAGAAGCTTTTGCACAACAAAGGATACAGTCAACAAAACTAAAAGACAACCTACAGAATGGGAGAAGATATTTGCAAATGACGTATCAGATAAAGGGCTAGTTTCCAAGATCTATAAAAAACTTATTAAACTCAACACCAAAGAAACAAACAATCCAATCATGAAATGGGCAAAAGACATGAAGAGAAATTTCACAGAGGAAGACATAGACATGGCCAACAAGCACATGAGGAAATGCTCTGCATCACTTGCCATCAGGGAAATACAAATCAAAACTACAATGAGATACCACCTCACACCAGTGAGAATGGGGAAAATTAACAAGGCAGGAAACCACAAATGTTGGAGAGGATGCGGAGAAAAGGGAACCCTCTTACACTGTTGGTGGGAATGAGAACTGGTGCAGCCACTCTGGAAAACTGTGTGGAGGTTCCTCAAAGAGTTAAAAATAGACCTGCCCTACGACCTAGCAATTGCACTGTTGGGGATTTACCCCAAAGATACAGATGCAATGAAACGCCAGGACACCTGCACCCCGATGTTTCTAGCAGCAATGTCCACAATAGCCAAACTGTGGAAGGAGCCTCCGTGTCCATCGAAAGATGATGGATAAAGAAGATGTGGTTTATGTATACAATGGAATATTCCTCAGCCATTAGAAACGACAAATACTCACCATTTGCTTCAACGTGGATAGAACTGGAAGGTATTATGCTGAGTGAAATAAGTCAATCGGAGAAGGACAAACAGTGTATGTTCTCATTCATTTGGGGAATATAAATAATAGTGAAAGGGAATATAAGGGAAGGGA